AAGCCAATATGTGTACACAATTGGGGCAAACTCTTCCGCACAGCCAATTACAGTTGGTGTCCCAAAGGGAAGTGTCCTAGGCCCTCTTCTCTTTCTCATGTACATAAATGACCTACCAAATGCATCGCAACTACTCAAACCCACACTATTTGCAGATGACACTACATACATCTACTCTCACCCGAGCTCAGTCATGCTAGCCAATACTGTTAATACCAAATTACAGAAAATATCAACCTGGATGAGGACCAACAAACTTACTCTAAACATTGACAAAACCTACTACATTCAGTTTGGTAACAGAGCTACAGATGTGTCTCTTAACAATGATAAATGGATCACCTATCACAAAATGCACAGAGGGAAAATTCTTAGGAATCCACCTTGATAATAGACTCAAATTTTAAACACACACACAACAAATTTCCCCAAAAAATTCCAAGACCGTAGGCATACTATCGAAGATACGGTACTATGTTCCACAGTCAGCCCTCCTGGCCCTATATCACTCGCTTATTTACCTCTATCTCACCTATGGAATTTGTGCATGGGGCTCAACAACAATAAACCATCTCAAACCACTAATCACCCAACAAAAGGCTGCAGTCAGAATGATGATAAATTCCCACTTACAGACAGCACACTCCACCAATATTCAAAACTCTAAACCTACTCACAATACAAAACATCCATACTTATTACTGCACCTACTACATACATAGAACACTTAACTCTGACATAAACCCTCCCCTCAAACATCTTACCAACCTCAACAGAACACATGACCATAACACAAAGCACAGATCACTCTTTGATGTTCCTCGTGTCCATCTCACGCTATGCAAAAACTCAATGCACATAAAAGGCCCTAAAATCTGGAATTCATTACCTGTAAATATAAAAGAAACACTGTCTGTTTATAAATTCAAGTCTCTTCTCAAAAATCACTTACTCACCCACAACTAAATAAATACTGAATAATTGTATCTCATATAAGTATCTCATTATTGTATCTCATAAATGTCAACCTGTGACCCAGTCAAACTTTGTTACTATTTAACTTCATTACCTAACATAATACAGGAGGGCCCCGCTTTACGGCGTTCCGCTTTACGGCGTTCCGCTAATACGGACATTTCAAATTATGACCAAAACTCACTATGCGGCTCCCCCCACCTGACTTTCTAATACGGTCACCTTGCCCCACCCTGTTTGTTTACATTCTCCATGAGCTCAGTAAGCACTAAGTCTCTCCATTTTGTCTGGAAACTCCAAAATTTCAAATGTTTTTAAAAGTTATTTCATATTTTATATATACTCTGATAATTATACTTATGTATACCTGTACCTAAATAAACTTACATACATCGAGTCATTTAAATGTCGTATATTACGTTAATATACACATTTTCATTAATCCATCCATGATATTTTTTCAAAATTATATAATAAACACGATGCATAACATATAAATAAGATAAATACACCCCACAGTAGAATAAATAAACAAATGTGAGATGTGAGCAGACGACTTGCACAAGTGGTGATAATAACAATACTGAGTCTCATTAAATGTCGTATATTACGGTAATATACACATTTTCATTAATCCATCCATGATATTTTTTCAAAATTATATAATAAACACGATGCATAACATATAAATAAGATAAATACACCCCACAGTAGAATAAATAAACAAATGTGAGATGTCGTAGCAGACGACTTGCACAAGTGGTGATAATAACAATACCGAGTCTCATTAAATGTCGTATATTACGGTAATATACACATTTTCATTAATCCATCCATGATATTTTTTCAAAATTATATAATAAACACGATACATAACATAAAAAATGATAAATACACCCCACATAGAATAAATAAACATAAATATAAGATGTGGGAGCCACTAAACTTGTACAAGTGACGGAAGAATAACATGTTTATCTAATAAAACTAACATTTATTCCTCCGTATTTGTTAAAATTTATAAGTAAGGCCTTACGGGGTAACTAAGAAATTAAATTAACCCCATATAATAACGTATGATATATAAAGTAGTAGAAGCCATTTGTCACGGAAATAACATTTTTTAAAAAGGTTATTATACTTAATATATACCTTGTAATTATATTATTCAGTACCGTCCAGCTTTACGGCGTTCGCTATATCATCCATGGATTTCAAATTATGACCAAAACTCACTATACGCTCCCCCACCTGACTTCTAATTACGGTCACCTTGCCCACCCTGTTTGTTTACATTTCCCCATGAGCTCAGTAAGCACTAAGTTCTCCATTTTGTCTGGAACTCCAAAATTTCAAATGTTTTTAAAAGTATTTCAATATTTATATATACTCTGATAATTAAAACATATGTGGATACCTGTACCAAATAAACTTAATACATCGAGTCTTTAAATGTCGTATATTACGTTAATATACACATTTTCATTAATCCATCCATGATATTTTTTTCAAAATTATATAATAAACACGATGCATAACATATAAATAAGATAAATACACCCAAAACCAGTAGAATAAATAAACAATATTTGTGAGATGTGAGCAGACGACTTGCATAAAGTGGTTTATAATACACAATACTGAGTTCATTAAATGTCGTATATAACGGTAAATACACATTTTCATTAATCCATCCATGAGTTATTTTTTCAAAATTATATAATAAAACACGATGCATAAACAATTAAAGATAAATACACCCCACAGTAGAATAAATAAACAAACTGTGAGTTTGTCGTACAGACGACTGCACAGTGGTGATAATAACAATACCGAGTCTCATTAATTCGTATATTACGTAATTATACACATTTTCATTAATATCCATCATATATTTTTTCAAAATATATATAATAAACCGATACATAACATAAAAATGATTGTTAAATACACCCCAAAACTAGATAAATAAACATAAATATAATGAGTGGGAGCCACATAACTTGTACAAGTGACGGCAAGAATAACATTTTTCTATTCTAACAATAAGAGTAAATGTGTTACTGGGGGTAACTGTGAAAATTATTCCTTTCGTTATGTATGTAAGTAAGTTATTCAGGTATACACAAATACAGTTACATAGATTATCATACATAACAACATACGTGTAGAGAACCTAGGATAACCCAAAAAGTCAGTGTGACTTATTTCCATTGCCTTCACTCAGAGCTTCATTTCTTCTCAAAATGATGTTACATGAGAATGGGAGTGTTCTTCTTTATTAATTCTACCGTATCAATGTAGAGACAACCTGTACACAATGTAACTTGTACACAAACCAGACGTGTACATTTCGTTTGTTTACAAAACTTACCTTCCCCTGGTTTGTTTACATAACTGCGCCTGCCCCTCTCATCTACTCATTCTTTCTCTCTCTCATTTATTCGTTTTATCTCATTTACTTACTCCTGACCCTACATTAAGACTACAAATATTTTAAGGTAAGTAATGAGTGAACTGTATATACATTTTATCGCTCTGGGATGCTTAAATATCATAGAATAGTATGTGTGGGTGGGGTGGCCTGGTGAGGCTATTACAATACCAACCACACTTGATTTCTTACATAATACTATTGTCTCACCTAGATTAAGACTATAAATATTTTAAGGTAAGTAATGAGTGCCACTATGTGTGTATTGTCCTTTTATTGTTTTTTGATGCTGGTTTCTATTGCTAACTTAATATTGTTTGTGTAAATTGTTTTCTATTTTGTATGCATTTATAAGTGGAATAAAAAGGCGTTTCCCTTTACGGCGGGTTTGCCGCTTTACGCGGTATACCTGGAACCTAACCGCCGTAGTGGGGCCTTCCTGTATACACAAATACAGTTCATAGATTATCATACATAACAACATACTGTGTAGAGAAACCCGGATATTCCTAAAAAAGTTCAGTGTGATTATTTCCATTGCTTCACTCAAGCTTCATTTCTTCTCAAAATGATGTTACTGGAATGGGAGTGTTCTCTTTATTAATTCTACCGTATCAATGTGAACAACCTGTACACAATGTAACTTGTACACAAACAGACGTTACATTTCGTTTGTTTACAAAACTTACCCTTTCCCCCGTTTGTTACATAACTGCGCCTGCCCCCTCTCATTACTCATTCTTTCTCTCTTCATTTATTGTTTTATCTCATTTACTTACCCGACCCTACATTAAGACTACAAAATATTTTAGGTAAGTAATGAGTGTACTGTATATACATTTTATCGCTCTGGGATGCTTAAATAATCATAGAATAGTATGTGTGGGTGGGTGCCTTGAGGCTTTTTACCAATACATCCACACTTGATTTCTTAAATAAAAAATAAATCACTTGTCTCACCTAGATAAGACTATAAATATTTTAAGGTAAGTAATGAGTGCACTATGTGTGTATTGTACCTTTATTGTTTTTTGAATGCCTGTTCTATGGTATACTATATATGTGTAGTGTAACTTGTTACTAGTGTTTGTATGCTTTATAAGTGGAAAAAAAGGTGTTTCCACTTTACGGCAATTTCGCTTTACGGAGGTAGACTGGAACCTAACCCAGGTATAATTGGGGCCTTCCTGTACTCCATTCTACTGATTACACAGCAACACAGTAATGACCATATGACCTGTCTTTGTAATACTCATTTGTGCTAAACTGTTATCTGTTTTAAAATAATTTTTGTACCACTGAATATATCATTGCTTAGTTAATCTTAAGTTAATTTTAAGCTGCCCATAATGCTCTGCATACAAGGGGCTTTGGCATGCTGCACTTTAAAAATTGTATTCCTTGTACTTCTCTGTATCATGTTCAAATTAATAAATAAAATCAGTAGGCATCCTTTCCAAGATATGGTACTATGTACACCAAACGACACTCCTTACCCTATACCACTCTTTAATATATCCTTTCCTCACCTATAGTGTTTGTGCCTGGGAATAACAAGACCACCTAACCTTTAATAACCCAACAAAAAGCTGCTGTGTGGACGGTAACCAGTTCCTGTGCCAGACAGCACACCCCACCACTTTTCAAAAGCCTGAAACTACTAAATGCTATACGAGACATATACTCGTATTATTGTGCCTCCTCTATATATACAGAACTTTAAACTCCAATATAAACCCTAAACTTAAACTTCTCCTTGATAGCTGCAACAGAACGCACAGTCACAATACAAGGCACTCTTCGACATCCCTCGTGTCAGTCTTGCCCTATGCAAAAATGCAATGCACATAAAGGGCCTGAAGATATGGAATTCACTACCTGAACTGGGAAAGGATCCCCTGACTACATACAAATTTAGGGCTATGCTTAAAAATCATCTCATCTCTCAATACTAACCAAACCAACCAAAATAACTTTCTAAATGGTTTGAAGCAACTCTCCCAATTATATAGGTAGTATTTTGGTAGACCACAACCACCCAGGTAGGTATTACCGTACTGCCAAGTACACCGGTAGTACTTGGTAGGATTGCTCGTGTCTTTTTTGTCTTGTAAACATGCAAGATTTCAGGTACACCTTCCTACCTCTACTTACACTTAGGTCACATTACACTTGCATGTACAAGCATATATTTATATATACAAACACACCCCTTTGGGTTCTTTTTTCTTACTAGTTCTTGTTTATTTCCTCTTATCTCCATGGAAAGTGGAACAGAATTCTTCCTCCGTGTCATTAGAGGCGATTAAAATGCCGGGAGCAAGGGGCTAGTAACCCCTACTCCTGTATATGTTACTAAATTTAAAAGGAGAAACTTTCATTTTTCCTTTTGGGCCACCCTGCCTCAGTGGGATATGGCCAGTTTGTTAAAATAACAAAGACCTCTAGTCTATTAAAACACCTGCCAATCCCTAAAATATTACTGAATCATTAATTGTAATATTGTTTTTATTATGTACAACTTCAAGATAATTATTCTTATAAATCTCCACCTTGACTACCTCGCATTAGTATTAAGATGAAACAAAGATTTATTAAAAAGTTAACCACTCTTATCTTGTCTAGACTTAAGTAATTATGTATTAGGATTAGTCTGCCCGAAATGCCCCGGCACAATAGTGGCTTTCTTTCTACTTAACAAACCCTTGCAAAGAAATAAAGTCCTTATTCCTTGTTATTTTATAGACAGTTTTTGTAGTGTATTTATCTTGATCAACCATAAACATTACTATGGGATGAGAGATTATAATAAAAAATTCCTATTTGCCATACTATAAGAACACACACGAACAAGGCAACTATTTTTAAAGGATAATTTTTTGAGTGTTGTCAAAAATATACTTCATTAAAATCCTCAGGTAAATACTGGGGTAACATTTATGCATACATTACAAATAATTATTATATTTCATGATTGATTTATATTTTAAGCTGAATATGCTGGAGAAATACTCCAAAGTTGTGCAAACTATAGAAATGTTTCTTACCATCAGCCATTTTCTTTAAGACATTTACAACATCTGAAACTTCAAGGGAGAGTTCATCTGGCTGCTTTCCTACATAGGGATGAACAGCTTGTACCTGAAGTATAAATATATCATTAATTTATATACCATTCCCCAGGAAAAAGCCCCCCACCCCATTTTTCCTTTCATTCCCAGTTTTTAATAAATCTTCTTCTTTCTTCTACTCTTTCTGTTTTATCACAGTTGCCAAGCAGGATGGGTGGGACTAGACTATCCTTCAATACAGGTAGGCCAGCCCGTTTTAGAGCTGCAGTTTTTTCCAAAATTTTCTGAACAACTTTTTAATTACCCTCAGCCTTGTTGGTTACAACTTACTGTAAAAAAAAGGAAGCTATCCAAGGCTTGTAGAGAACGTGTGTGGTTCTTGTACAAAAAAAGAATGGGGACAAGATAATCTAAGAATTATTGAGGAATAAGTCTCCTACATAAATCAGTTTGTATCAGAAATGTGATTGATAAGGAAAGGGAGGGAGGGGTGTATGTGTGTTGGGGGGGGGGGATTTAGTGTTAAATATGCAGCGCATAACTGAGCAACACTAATCAAATTCATAGCCTTGTAAAATATATACAAGAGTAAAAAAGCAGGGGTGTTACAGTCCATAACTATTCAACTTGCTACCAGCAGACATCAGAAATAAGAGCATGTGTAAACAGTCTTTAATATGATCCAGCTTCCTCTTAACCATGTTGTGATGCCTATGTGAGCCAACAGACTGCCAGTACCAATAGCCTGGTGGAACAGGTAATCAACAGGGAATTCTGACCCTAGGCCAGGTTCTGAGGGTGGTAAAACCCTTCAGAACTGGAGGAAAAAAAAAAAAAGTCTGAAGTATGTATTCATTTCTTAAGACAGTTTTATCATTACTAGATTCCAGAAGAGGAGGGGGGGGAGGGACCATCTTATCCAAACTGTTAGTCCCAGCCTACCACCTGTTATTTATTTCATATATCATGTGAGTGGACACTCCAACTGAAAATGATTGGATATAACCAACTATATTAATAATTAGCACTACTTAATTTTCAAGATTTGCAATAGAAATGATTGTCGCGGATCTGGGAATGTGGTGGTTGTGTGTGGGGTAGCCACCTTATGACCTAAATAAAGCATCTCTCCCAAATTCACTATTGTTGACCGTTGTGGCAGTGCTCATGTAAACTCGGTTTTATTCAGCTAGGTGTTTATTAAGCCTTCTTGAAGAAGAGGGCTTTGTATATACCTTCTGTGATATACTTACATGTACTTCATATATATTTTGTCAATCACGTCTAATAATAAACTAAAAACCCTAAACTTTGCATTTTATTTAACCTAAAGCAATTCTAATTGTTCATCCATGCCCTAAGTTGGTGTTCAGGGCCAAGACCCACACATTAAAATGTCAGTTTAGGCTTGGAGTCTTTCCCTTTTAAATAAAAGTGTCACCACCTTGGAGTGGCTCAGTGACAGAGTAACTTAAGCTGGCTTACAGGGCATTTCCCATGCCCTAAACTACATCAACTCTTAACAGGGTGGATCAGTGAACAAAGGGGTAAATGTTACAAATGAACGAAGTAGGTTGCAAGTTATACAAGCACTTAAGTTTTTTTTTAAGAGAGGTAATGTGTATCAGGAAGAAGGGAGATGGTTTCTAGTACAATTAGAACTTAGAGAAGGATGTCTGATGTGACTACAGTTATTTAATGTTGGTATATGGGGATATATGAGAAGTGAGACACATTTCAGAGAGGTGTAGTCCTATAAGGTAATGAATCTGACTTTCAGTGTGAGCCGTCATAAATGTTTGCAAATGATGCAGTATTACTGGGGAATTCAGAAAAGCTGTAGATACTGGTAGAGTAGCTTTGAAAGATGTGTAAAAGGAGGAAGCTAAAAGTGAATACAGGAAAAAATACAGTGATAAGTGTAATATAAACATGGGGAATGCAAAAGGTAAGAATAGAAGACAGGTAAATATATTAAGAAATTTCAAAGATATAAGCAAATGCTTTTCTGAAGAAATAGGTAAATCCTAATATGTAAATGATGTTGCAGTAGTCTTGAGAAATTTGTGGGAACAAGTTAACTTAACAATGTAAAAATTAGAACGAGTCAAGAGTATGGTGGTACCAACTTTAACAGTGAAACTCGTGGTTCTCAGATGTTGCAACAAGGAAAAGGTTCCCATGAAAAGTTTATAACAATAATAAGTTTTAAAGAAATATGAGAACTGTGGCAGTATGAAATATATAATTACTGAAGTGCAAGAGGGCTTGATGAGGTTGCCTAGTCATACGAAAAAATGAAAAGTTGCTAAAGTATAAAAATCTGAGATGGAAGAAGTTTGGACATCTAAGAAAGAGTTGAAGCTCAAGCATGAAGGAGTTTTTGAAAGGTAGTCTGCAATATTCAGCATACAGTGGACTTCCGGATTAAGACGTCATTGGAATAAGTAATAATTGGAATAAGCAACGTTTTTGCGTCAAAATATTGGCTCAATGAATGTTACTGAACTCGGTATAAGTCATTCGTGTCGGGGCCTGAGCTGCCCAGTGTGCCATTGTTTACCAGCCAGTGAGGACGATTCAAGGCGTTCATACGATACTTTTTTTTTTTTTCCCCCAACAAGTCGGCCATCTCCCACCAAGGCAGGGTGACCCAAAAAGAAAGAAAATCCCCAAAAAGAAAATACTTTCATCATCATTCAACACTTACACCTCACTCACACACAATCAGTGTTTTTGCAGAAGTGCTCAGAACACAACAGTTTAGAAGCATATACATATAAAGATACACAACATATCCCTCCAAACTGCCAATATCCCAAAACCTCTCCTTTAGAGTGCAGGCACTGTACTTCCCATTTCCAGAACTCAAGTCCGGCTATATAAAAATAACCAGTTTCCCTGAATCCCTTCACTAAATATTACCCTGCTCACACTCCAACAGATCGTCAGGTCCCAAATACCATTCGTCTCCATTCACTCCTAACAAACACACTCGTGCACGCCTGCTGGAAATCCAAGCCCCTCGCCCACAAAACCTCTCTTACCCCTTCCTTCCAACCTTTCCGAGGACGACCCCTACCCTGCCTTCCTTCTCCTACAGATTTAAATGCTCTCCATGTCATTCTACTTTGATCCATTCTCTCTAAATGACCAAACCACCTCAACAACCCCTCTTCAGCCCTCTGACTAATACTTTTATTAACTCCACACCTTCTCCTAATTTCCACACACCGAATTTTCTGCATAATATTTACACCACACATTGCCCTTAGACAGGACATCTCCACTGCCTCCAACTGCCTCCTTGCTGCTGCATTCACAACCCAAGCTTCACACCCATATAAGTGTGTTGGTACCACTATACTTTCATACATTCCCTTCTTTACCTCCATAGATAACGTTTTTTGACTCCACATATTACCTCAACGCACCACTCGCCTTTTTTCCTTCATCAATTCTATGATTAACCTCATCCTTCATAAATCCATCCACCGACATGTCAACTCCCAAGTATCTGAAAACATTCACTTCTTCCATACTACTCCTCCCCAATTTGATATCCAATTTTTCTTTATCTAAATCATTTGATACCCTCATCACCTTACTCTTTTCTATGTTCGCTTTCAACCTTTACACACACTCCCAAACTCATCCACTAACCTTTGCAATTTTTCTTTAGAATCTCCCATAAGCACAGTATCATCAGCAAAAAGTAACTGTCAATTCCCATTTTGCATTTGATTTCCCATAATTTAATCCCACCCCTCTCCCAAACACCCTAGCATTTACTTCTTTTACAACCCCATCTATAAATATATTAAACAACCATGGTGACATTACGCATCCCTGTCTAAGACCTACTTTTACCGGGAAGTATTCTCCCTCTCTTCTACACACCCTAACCTGAGCCTCACTATCCTCATAAAAACTCTTTACAGCATTTAGTAACTTACCACCTATTCCATATACTTGCAACATCTGCCACATTGCTCCCCTATCCACTATCATATGCCATTTCTAAATCCATAAATGCAATAAAAACTTCCCTACCTTTATCTAAATACTGTTCACATATATGCTTCAATGTAAACACTTGATCTACACATCCCCTACCCACTCTGAAACCTCCTTGCTCATCCGCAATCCTACAATCTGTTTTACCTCTAATTCTTTCAATACCATACACTTTTCCTGGTATACTCAATAAACTTATTCCTCTATAATTTTTACAATCTCTTTTGTCCCCCTTCCCTTTATATAAAGGGACTATACATGCTCTCCGCCAATCCCTAGGTACCTTCCCCTCTTTCATACATTTATTAAGCAAAAGTACCAACCACTCCAACACTAAATCCCCCCTGTTTTTAACATTTCTGTTATGATCCCATCAGTTCCAGCTGCTTTACCCCCTTTCATTCTACGTAATGCCTCACGTACCTCCCCCACACTTACATTCTGCTCTTCTTCACTCCTAAAAGATGGTATACCTCCCTGGCCAGTGCATGAAATTACCGCCTCCCTTTCTTCCTCAACATTTAAAAGTTCCTCTAAATATTCTCGCCATCTACCTAATACCTCCCTCTCCCCATCTACTAACTCCCCTACTCTGTTTTTAACTGACAAATCCATACGTTCCCTAGGCTTTCTAAACTTGTTTAACTCACTCCAAAATTTTTTCTTATTTTCATTAAAATTTCTATTCCATTCTTTTTAGTGCTTGTAACTCCTAAATAAGCCACCATGGGCCCAAAGAAAGCTTCTAGTGCCAGCCAGCCCTTTCGTAAAGGGCTGAGAGGGGAGAATGTGCCTTTTTCAGCGATTCTGCAATATGTACGATACTAAAGCAGCAAGAGTCTATAAAGGCTATAGTCAGTGATAAAGTGTAGCATTAACTGTAGCAAGTAAGTTAAGTGATTAATTGATAGAAAAAGGACATCATGAACCTAACTCCTCCAATGTTGTTGGAGTTATATAGGGCGACTGACAACACCTCCATCTCTAGCCTCTACCACCTCCACCACCACTATGTACGGCTTGTGTCTCAGTGGCCCTTATACGCCCAACAAC